TATTAGTCGGTAAAAATGTTATGCTTGTATAATAAATGTGTTTTAAAATCGTTTATATTTCATTACCTGTATTAAAGACCATAACTCATTGCGTTATTGATTAGTATGGGTATACAAACACTGTGCTAAGCTTGTCACACAAACAATTTTACAATCATAAAATGTTTGAATAATTCCTTTGTAGGATTATTTTATTGAAAAACTTTGGTAGTTTACAATTAATATTTTTATGAGACAAGTTGCGACATTCGACGTTGCTCATACAATAAAATGATTATCAGCATGAAGATAACATAGAATAAGAAAGTTTCACCAAGAAAACTTCAATAATACCGTTTGGATTTGTGTAAGAAATGGCTCAAGTTAAAGAGCGAATAAACTTGTAATGATTTTGTAAAACGTAATGTGCCAAAAGCACAGATTACTTTTGAAAAATAATACTTAAAATATTAATTTAAAATATTATTTTTCAAAAGCATTCAGATTCAAAAAACGTTAACTCGTAAAACGTAAAAGTACTATCTCGTTGTAATTGTGTTGCGACCCCAAAGAAGTTCTACAACAAATATTCGAACCATGACATTACTCGCATATAGAGTGTAGTTTTAAGTTATACTCAAATCCGAATGAGAGCTGGTGCTTTTAATACGCTTTGTCGGTGATCATTGTATTCAAGTGGATGTCAGGTACAAAATCTAGTTTGAAAAACAATCCACAGAGAATCTTTGTTAAAAACTTTTGTCCTCGGAAAGGATAAAAAGTTTTGATGTGTGTAGGCGCATGAGAACATATACCATTATTATAAGCTGTATTATTATATTCTTCCATGATATCTGGAACTGTTTTTTGGCTTGCGTACGTCCGACTGGCACATTAAAACGAATGAAAAAACATTTTTTTTAAATCGCCAGCGTGAGAAATATCTCTAAAATGATTTACTGACGGAGGAAGTTAAATATCATCACCACAGTGTTACATCGAATCTGGATAATGCTCTTCCAAATTGGACAAATGGCTGTCTCGCGAAAATCTATTTTTTATTAATATCAATATAACATGTAGTTTATAAACGCCCGGCCGCCGTTGTGTGTAGATAAGTGCGCATAATAACAGATTACATATTGACTGGCTAATTCTGTGGAACTATTGTAAAAATACATTTCAATTATCGTTTGAGTAAGTAAAATTGGCAACGATTCAATGCGTATAGTTTAACACCAACGGTACGGTTGTTTCAGTAGCAGTCGTTTTGGAAATGAAATATGAAGACATGCAAACCGTTGGAACTACACAAGTAATTATAGTAATATAGTCGGTTTGAGAAACCTAAAAAAAAATTCACACCAAATGATACACTCGGCGGTATAATTGTCCTGTCATATTTTTATTTTTAAATGGGTAACAATACACCAAATTTAAGCTGTTCGACGATCGCTTACGAATTAATGCTTTCGAGTTGTGAAGCTATAAATATTTAAGTTCAAGAATTAAACATGAAGTGTAACGGAGTAAGTAGTACGCAAAGGCGAAAATAATATCGTACAGGATAACATAATTGCGTCGTTCACTTTGCCCTAACATAATAAAAGTTCTCACTTCAAAATATATAAAAGAATTTAATGAACCTATAAGAAATAAACTTTGGTATAATGCATGCAGTGTTCGAAATATGTGGTAAAATTTGTTTATTTAAACAAGGAAAGTAATGAATACGCATGGCGTCAGAGACAATTAAAAATTTAACTGTTACCATCTTTTCATGTACATCTTGTTTAACTTTCATAAATACGTACTTAGAATTTTCGCACATTTTGAAATATTATTTATACAAAGTCATGTGTATACTAAAAGTTATCAAAAAAGTTTTTCCATTTTAGCTAAAGAATTTTGTTTGGATTTGAAATATGCGAAATTCTAGTATGATTAAAACTATTATGTAAAATAAACCTTATTATGTACTTTCACACATGTTACGAGTAAAAATTTTGGGGAAATTAGTGCATACGCTATACATTCACATATTTATACTAAATTGAAGAAGAAGATGCGAAGATGAAAACTGAAAGCATTATTCCCCTGAAATTATATTTTAATTATCAAGTATCTGTAAGGGATGTAAGTTACCATACGTTCAATTTCAATAACATCTAATAATAACGAGTTGATGAAATTAGAAACAATTATTGTTGTAATTAGCATTTAGTATTAAACAGCTTTTACATCAAATTCTAATTTTATTTATTTTCAAATTGCACAAGATAAAATATATCAAGCTATTCTCAAAAAATCAATTTATTTATTCAGAAATATAATAAAATTGATGTTAATTCTAATTCTTGATTTGTATAAAAATAACTTTTATTATTTGAAAACATTTTTGGTGTACTACGTGGTATTTGTAAAACAAATTCATTCAGTTTTAATTGAAATTATTACTTGGTATTAAAAAGGTGAAGCTTTTAAAGATTTATATTTAAGGTAGATTTGACACTTTCGCATATTTTAGTTTAAAGGTTGTGAGATAAAAAAAATATTTAACTGCAAATAAAATATATTAGTAATTCATTTAAAAAATTGAAAATATTTTTAAAACAAAATAAATGTGTTATTCTAAAAACTTTTAAATTTTATATTTTTTATCTAATTAAAATTTTTTTTGCATAATATTTAGATTCCTTATACTTGATTTTTTTTTTTTAAGTTTAGAGCGCGTGTATGCCAAAGAGATAATGTTAATTATAGATTCAGAAACGCAAAACAATCAACTACTTATTATATTATTGCATATTGATAGTACAAATGATTGGACTGAGAAATGGTTTTTTTTATAGTACATTTCGTATTGATGTTATTTTACAATGAAAAATATTCATGTTAAGATTACCTTGATCGTGGAATGTTTTACACAACATACAAACAATTATATGGACACAAAAGATTTATTTGAACGTATATTTCTAACAATTCTAACCACAACAAAAGCCTGTAGAGTTAAGCATACAATTGGTTAGTTAGAAATTATTCTGAAAATGAAAACTATGCAAATATTTTGACAAAGCTCATTTCTGTATGTAATCTTGTTTGATATCATATAACAATACTTATCTTCATTGTTGTTTATTAATAAAAGGATGTACTTAAATGCTAAAAACAAATAAAATTATATGTATATTTGCAGGTAAATATTATAAAATTATATAATCTAACAATTTTTTATTTATTTATTTTAGTAAAGAGTAATTTATTATTAATTTATCGAATATAACTCAAATACACATTTAAATTCTTGAATATATTTAGTTTGGGATTAATTCCGACTTTGAAAAGTCGTCTTTTAGAAAATATTTATTTAAAATAATATTTTTACCATTGAATTCGATCGCATCAATATCACAAATATATAAATGTCGGAGAATTTCTTATATCAAAACATTATTTAATGAGCAATTCCAAAAGTTCTAAGATATCCTAAACCAATTAATTAATTGATAAATAAACGAATATTTATGAGACAATTTGATATGTGGAATTATTCATTAAAAACGCGGAATCGATAATTTTATTTAAAGACTATGAGAATGCATTAATGTCAGCAGTCAGTCCCAAATGTTTGTATTACAATTTACATGTATACTCTTATTATCTTTTAATCCCCGTGTATTGTACGAGTTATTGAACTATAGAAAATACAAACGTGGTGCTGGCGCCAATAATAGTACATAATATATCAAATGTCTCGCCCAACATTCACGAAAAGACGCATTTAATTATTTTTATTGTAATCGAAGAAAAATTGATTTAAATAATCTAATTACGTAGGTACCTGTGCAATTTTTTAGGGAATGAAGAATTGCGCGTTTGAAAAATAAATATATTGAAATCCGGCATAAGTTTAATTGCCTATTAATATTTATGAATGTGCGTGGCAAATAAAAACGTTATTTTAACAAATTCTGCACATAGTCATTGCCTCAGTTATATTATTCTATCATCCGAAGTGATTTAAATAATAAACGTAGACAAACGGATTTAAATGCTAAAACAATACGTTGGCGAAGATAAACATTTATATTTCAATAACGCTATTGACATACAATATTTCATAGGCACATATTTCACGAAAACATAAATGAATTTCAAATTTAGACTCGATATTTTTCTAAAAGTGTAGGAGTATTGACTTGATAGCTTTATCAAATTGTACGCAATCAATTCTTTAAATCAAAAGTAGGTTAAGTTCAATTTTGTCAATAAGTTAGTCGAATAGTGTTTCCAAAGGATTTAAAATTCATAGAAAATAAGATGAAAAAATACATTTTCAATCGTTATCTGTGAGATAATTTATTGTTGTGTTTCATATAATTTCATTTTTGTTCTATATAGAACGTTATAAGAAAACTAATCAAACTTTTCATACTATACGAGAAATTTGATTTTTTTCAAATATGTCCTAAACAAACCCATTTTACGGATACAGAAAGTTTTTAAAATGTGACATTTAATATATCAATAAATAATAATTGTATAAAAACAAATTATTTTATATATTATAATTTACACAGGTATTCCTCGGGTCGACTGAGATTGGTTACTTATGGTTTGTACGACATTCATAAAAAATTAATTTAGTATAGAAAATTCAAAAACCTATTTTTATTATCAATTGAGTAATTTTCACGCTCATAGAGCCAACAGGTTATCATTTAAATAATGAAAACGTTAAATTTATGACAATGTTCGATGTTTCTTTCGTTTTATAAAAAAATTTTAAGGACAAATTTTATCATTTCCGTTTGTTTTTCTAGATGATAAGTTTTTAAGATTCTCTATATATTTTCTCGACTAAATCTAATACATTCAGCCGAGAACCTTAAAAAGCAGTATATTATACTGGCCATAAACGTTTACGCAGAATATGATGCAATAAAACGGTGAATTTTTCCATTCGAAAACATACCTAATACAAATTGTTTATACATATAATATATTATTTTTAAAACCTTAATCGTCTGGATTTTTTTACGAAGATACAATTGTATTACGGAGGTGTTCACGTCGTACGTAATTTGTCATTCATCAAAATCGGTCTGGTCTCATTCAATACTTTGAACAAGACCTCGTTGATCTCGAGACACATGATTTCCCATATGCTCACACACACTCGAACTCATTTACATGGTACTATAATTATTTACAGAAGTTCGCACATAGTCTGACGCGCAGACTTCGGCCAAACGTCAGCGTACCGCGCGACACGGCGTTTAAACGACTACTGAGGCGGCGACTGTCAGTCCCGTTTTACGGCAGCGATGACAGCTGAACTACGGTCATCCTACACACGTTCACCTGGCGCTGTTGTTATATTTAACGGCAGCATCAAAAAACGCTACAATAATACAAGTAACGAGATTATATTCCCATAATGTTATTAATAATAGGTATTCCGAAAAGGTACGCCTGGGAATATTGAGACGTGTTGATAAAGTGATATCGAGTGCTGACAATACAATTACTGTGACATCGCAGTGTTGGCCGCGACGACATGGCCTAGTCTTTCAGACTAAAAAAATCCAATAACAATGCGTTTGGTGAACTTCCATCCGTCCTCAATGATAACGCGCGGTGAACAGTACATCGTATATTGACACACAGCCAGATCATGCAATAAACGACAAGATGGAGAATCGCATGTTATGTACTTTGTGTTACAGGCACGTAAGTAACAGTGGAACTATCCGTTTTCAGTGTATATCTATACACACATGTGGCGTTTATAGCTTCGAGCCGTTAAACTTCCATTTTAGACTTCAGTAACAATAATATTAACGCGTAGTTAGGTATCTAGTGGATGTGTTATTCAAATAAAACGCAGTTCACTTAAAGCACGTGAACGTTTTGATCCCACAAAACGCAACCTATAAAACCTCTGGCTAAACATATAATGTTTTAATAACAAACGTGAAATACCAAAGGAAAAACGAAAAACTCATTCAAGAACAAAAGCTATGGACACCTGTTGACGTTTAAAAGTTTTACTTGGTTTGTTCGAAAATAAATTTAGCGCACACAGTAACAATATATCTTAAACGGGTCTCGTCGTCGTTCACTTAACTAACTCTATCGAATTCATTTCCAAAACAATGGCAATCCAATTTGCTTTTCAACTGAATCCCACTAAAAAAAACATAAATCACATAAAGATGTATGTTTCTGTTGTGTTTGTTTCAACTAACATGACAATATTTTATTGCTTTGTGTTTAAAATTTATTTCAATGGCATGAAAAATCAATCTATTTCTTACTTTAATAGCTTTGAAAACATTAAACATGGTGATTTCTGAATTATTGCCATAAGTATCTAGATTTTAATGAAATTTATTTTACATAGCAACCATTGAAAAATATATCTATTATTTTAAAAATAATGTTTTATATTAGTTTTTACATTTACTAACATGATTTATATGTTAAACAAATTAGTACAAGTCGCTGTATATCATTTGTTGATTAAATATACATTACTTGTTTAAGAAATATTAACGGTTAAAATATATATATATATATATTTTTAAGAGATGAAAAAGTTAATTAAAATAAACTGCGTTATGCAGGTAAAATGGGTAGAATGCAGTACGGATTCGAGAAGTTTGTAATGGTAAATAAACCCAAGTCAACCCTTAATACCTCCAAATATACAACCATAATTTCTTCTATTTTAATAGTTCTCTCAAAGTATGAGAGTTTAATGAAAATTTTCCGACTAACGTTAAACCTTCAACTAAGTAAAACATAACCATTTAATGAGTTACCCAGTAATATCAGATGAATTAAATAGTTTGAAGAGAAAATATTCATACATTTTTTATGGATTACCATTGTGACGTTTTTTTGAAATATTTATTTTAATAATAATATAATTCGATCAATTAAAAATAATTAGTAAACATCAAAAAATCATAGAATATGAAATTAGTTTTCAGGTTTTTTCTTACTATAGTTTTAATGTTGCCTTCATATTTTAGTATGCTCACGTATTTCAGGTTTAGGCCATTTTCGATTTAGAAGTCTGTTTAAGTCTTGCCTAATCCGATTTTGATTGAGACGACCTATGCAGGTTTTATGCACGGAACGCGAAATCTATTTAACTCTTTTTTGAAATTATTATGTTTTTCAAATTATTTTATATTTGATTTTTGTTGTATTAAATGTACTTCCTTAGTTGTCCTGAATCGAAATTCTCCAACTATTATTACTAGACCTTTATATACGTCGAAATACTTTTTTTCAAGTCATTATATCATCTTATCTTTGTTGCCATTGGTTACCAGCTATGTTTTACAGACAAAACGGAGTACTGGCTTAAATAGCTAAAATGTAGAATTGTTTTTGTTTCGCATAAGTGAGAATGATGTCCCTCTTAAGTATTTTCATTTTATGAAGTACTAGCACATTTCTTATCACTTTTTTAATACTAGGTTAAAAACAAGTGGTAATAACGTAGAACAACCAAAAGGATAAGTAATTTGAATTTACATTGGCTCTTACAGAGGATGAAAAAAACACGTCCGGAATAACCAGAAATGAAACGTGTTGCCATTTAGTGGGAAATCTTGTTGTTTCTTTAATATTGTATCACTGATCATTTGTTTTATTATTTTATTCCAAATTATTAACCTTTCTTACAAAATCTATGTTAATTACAAAGTACTCATAAACCACATAAAACTTAAAAATAAGGGAAATATTTATTTCTGGCATAACTGTTAATTTTAAGATATAGCATGCCGTTTTCAAGTTTTCCTTCTAGTTGTACTGTGGTAATAATACATCAACCTGCTTGAGTCCAGATTTAATTTCAAACTTTCTAGCATTTGTTTTTCAAACTTTGAGTAATATAAGAAAATTATATAATTTTACTAAATGAGTTAAAATAGTTACAAGCTTTTTTCTTCCTTAAGCCGTTCTTGAAAAATAATAGTATGAATTTCAGTAAAAATAAAATTTACTTATTTTTAATAGCTGATAAAAATTTTAGTGATACTTTTTCACTAGAGTACGAGGTTTAAAATAATTTTAAAAATAACAGTTTTTATTGTAGACAAATTTATTTATTCACGTAAATATTTTATATACCTATTTTATAATTATATAATTATATATACATACTATATATATATATATATATATATGTACATAATATGTATAAATATCAAGTTTCATCAATTATATTTTGGTGTAACAATACATAGAATCATTATATTAAATTGATCATACAAGATGATAGTACTCTAAATTTCCGCTTGGAATAAATAATTCTTCACCTATGTTAATGTAGTGTTGGAAAGTATTTATTAGAAGGGACAACAAAACAAAGAATCTACGAGAATCTAATATCGTATAAATACATGTTTACTCAATAGACTATAAATAGATATAAGAAACTAATATTAAAAATTAGATAGAACATAGTCAAATAGTTTTAAATCCTAATTTGAGTACAAGATAATTTTAAATTAAATTGAATGTTTCATTAATACAATCCCTTAACAATATACCAAGTGTTCAATAAGTAAGGAAACATGTCAATTGTTACGAATAATGATGACAATAGAAACGTTTCCCTACTTACTGAACACTCTATATAAAATATTATTTTAAAGAGAGAGAATACATTTATCCCCTCCAATCATCTTTTTATTTTTTTATTTTTATTTTATCTCTATAGTATACAAGCTGAACACTTTATTTTCGCAAATGTTGAAAATACTACCCAGACACTACAGCCATGTTACACTATAGTTATTTTAAAAATAAGACATTATATCAATTTGTCCGAAAATTTATAAACATTTAAGGAAGGTTTGAACTATCGACTTTCTTCAAGCACATTTGCATAGTAACGTTTTAGATTTCAATCTTTATCTATAGTTTTCATTTTTTTTATAAAAATGTGAAAACATATTGATGAATTCTTTGTTCTACAAAGTAATCATATAGATATAAATTATCCTTTCCAGTTGTTTAATTTAATTTTAAAAAACTCATTGTTCAAATGAACTCATAATAAAATAAATTAAAAACATTAATTTACTCTTGTTTAAAATAGTCTCGCCTAAATAATTGAAAACATATAATTTTCAAATTTAAATAATTACAAAAATATTTAAATTGAAAAAAATCAACTATGATTGATGACTTGTGTTTTCTGAACGAACTGTAATCTTTTTTCTTAAACATTTTTCCTGAATATTTTTACAAACCAATAGACAAGCTCGCTTAAAAATCCGTTAAAAGACTGAGTAGAGAGTTCGATGGTGTTGAGCATTTACTTAATAAAAAACGTTATCTTTCTGAATTGGACAATTCCAAGTTTACTGAGTCGTATGATTGTTTAGGCACATGTTCTGCGAACTGTGTCGATGAGACTCGATTTCGGACAGAATGTTCATTCTTAATTAATTGTAAAAATCATGGAGACTCTGTTTTATCTAGAAATGAGAAGCCATTTGGTGTGTATGTGTTGGTGTGTAAACAAGAGAACGTTGAAAAAAAAGATGAATCAATCACGAATGTGCATGACAAAGCTTTTATGACGGTTTATTTCAAAAGTCTTACTAATAAGATTAGTTTTTATTATCATTTAATTACAATTAAAAACAAATTGTCTAAAAGTCATAAATTTGATGTTTACCCATCTCAAAGAGATATCGAAATTGTTGAAAAGTCAACGTATTATAAATGATGGTCTTATGCAATGGCAAATTTCAGAGATGTCGGTAAAAAGTACGCCATTAAAAAGATTAAAGTCTACTAAAAGAGATTCAAGAAAAATGTGAATAGAAAAAAACTAGAAGGATTTGTAATCGAATATTTTCTAATACATTTGGTTTTTAAAACTTAAATATATCTTATTATTTTGAAAAAATACTATTTATGTCGGTCGATTATTGAAAGTTTATTGTTGTATATGTTAAGTTATTGAAAAGGTTATTGAAATCTGTAGATTTAAGTTTTTGTAAAATTTTAATAATAAATTAATTTTGAATTCATCTGTATATATAATATTTAAACCAAAACAAATTCTTATTTTGTGATTTTCAATTTCCAAAATATCCTCCAATTTTTTTAAATAATTGTTATTTTTTGAAGTAAACTAGCTAAATACTTTAATTTTGCAAATTTTGCAGGCATTACCCGTGGAGACTTTATGTAACTTTCTAATTTATTCCATTTCAAAAAATATTGGCTATTAACACTAAAAAATTTAGTATTAA